TACAAATGAGGACAATCTGTTCCCGATATATACTGTACAAAATATATATACTAGATAACTACAGTTAAGATTTAAAAAAGAGTGGGTGACAAAAGAACAGTGTAATTATGATTATTATTTATGCTATGTGTATTTAAAGGTCCTAAAGAACATTAATATCCCAAGATATCTACAGTCGCTGCTCAGTTATACAGCTGGAAAACAATGTTATTCACAGTTCTAATTAATGCAGTGCTTCAGTAAATATGTATCTGTTCCAAGTATGCTATTCCCAATTTTATTATGATGCGGGAGAACTGCAGGCATATATGCATATTTTAAAGGCACTATATTTCTTATAGAATCTCAGATTTTTGCCATTAACTGATAAAAGAAATACATGTGCTACATAGTATAGGAATAAACTATACAAGGTATATGTATGTATAAATGTGTAAAAAGTAATTTCCATTTATATAATTTTAATTACAGTGATACTATATGCAATGCAGAATAAATTGTGTGTGTCTGTGTGTGTGTGTGTGTGTGTACATAGTATGTATATAGTGCTGTCAATTGATTAAAGTCCCCCTGTAGTGAAAATCATGTTTTTATGTTGTTTATTTGTCTATGTGGTGTTTTTAATTTGCTTTTAGACAAACCATGTGCCAATCCATTAATCAACACCATTGCTGAGTATTTTCTCCTTAAAACTGTAGTTTCCCAATGACAGTCCCAGAAACACAGTTTGAAACAACCCTCGGTTTTCTATGTCACAAAATTCAATAACCAATCAAGTCAAGGGATAGATTCCTATCGTTAGCATATCCATCTCTCCATTTATACAAACGCGGCGCGCATAGAGATATCATTGAGATCGCATGCAAAATATTCCAATAGGATTACCAGCACAAAACCAAAAATAAAATAGAGCAAAAAAACCCATGAAGCCATGGTTTAATGTGAATTTAGAACCGCTAACTTGAATAATAATCCGCGGCACCAGTGGAAAAGTAGCCCGGAGTCTGACCCACCTCTCTCGCATTGGCGGCCGCACTTCACACGCATATGCTCGCGGGCGCAAATTAAGAATCACAAACTTGGCTGCATTCGAGTCTTCAAAGCATTTTGAGGACACAACATCGTCAAGTAAGTAACTTTAACGACTGTTATATATTATCCACTGTAGTTGTCTGTTAGTAAAAACATAGTTTTATCAGTCATTATCCATGGATCAGGAGGCCCTGGCTGGTGTGACTGAGTGGAGGCGGGGCTAATTTGCGTATTCATAGATCCACGTATAGTAAATGAGGCAAGGATGTAGAGTTACATTCAAGCTATTTTAAGAAATTATTTCAAATTATTTTCACAAGAAAAAACTTTTAAATATGTCATCAAAGATGGATAAAATGTTTGACTACAGGGGGACTTCTAACCTAACATTCAAGTTTTTAAATATACTTTTATATTGCAATAATTTTACAATCAATCTTCAAATTAAGCAAATACCTTAATAATTACATACATTTTCAAGTGTAGCTTGATGCTAATTGTACTTCTAATTATATTTTAGGATGTAGACTGTTCTTGTAAGCATTATAAATAGTTTGTGTTTCTGGTTTAGAACCAAACTTTGTTTATCTTATTTTAGATGTTAATTCATATACGAGATACATATCTGAGGAAAAATGCATCGTTGGTAGGCGCCGTGAATTAGCAGAAGGCGAACAATCATTTCGTGCTTAGTGTGAAAGCAACGTTTGTCGGCGATTCGACTTTAAACTGAAAAAAAATATATAATAATAATCGCCTGCATTAACGCTAATCTTTACAGCACTAATATATATATATATATATATATATATATATATATATATATATATATATATATATATATATAAATAGTGGGAATCACTATGTAAATAATATAAAAAGTAATTAATTTTATGTGTCTGTATATACAATTACATATGTATTAGTATATAAAATTAAATAATAAATAAATGAAAATGTATATTTATAAATTTACATGTGCATTTATATAATGTTCTTTTATTAGTATGTAAAATGTATAAATTGTAATACATTAAGTTAATAATAAGTTACATTATATAAATAGTGTTTCTACTACATATACAAAGTTATTTCTATACTTCTAATTTTGATATTAGTATGTAAAATTAAACAAATAAATAGAAATTACTATGTAATGTATTAAAAAGTAATACACTGTGTTTTTTATTTATTTTATTACAATGTAGCGAATCAGCTCATGGGGAAATATGAATAATTAACCATAACTAGTTATAATTAACTATTCATATTTTAGATCCACTATTGCAATATAGAGTGTATTTATTACAAATATATATAGTAATTCCCCCATGTTTTTCTGCTATTTGTATATAAAAATAGAAATAATGAATAAATGAAAATGAATATGTATATAATGTAAAAGCAATAAATTATTAAATTAGATATGTATGTTTTTTTTATTTATAAATTTTTACTACATTATAGTAATTTCTCCATATTTAATTCTTATATTAGTAAGCAAATAAACAAATAAATGTATAATACAATGAATAAAATATTGTAGAATATTATAAACAAATGATAAATTATCAGAGGTGTAAAGAGTACCTAAAAACCATACTTGAGTAAAAGTACAGATACCTTACAGTGAAAATTACTCCACTACACGTTACAAGTCACCCATTAAATATATTATAAAATAAAATACTAAAAAATAAATATTTCTAACTTTTGGTTGAAAAAAAGCATATATTTCCACTGAGAATTAAAAGCACTCAGGATAGTCTGCAGGTACAGTCCTGCACCAGCCGTGTAACTGCCACGTGAGATGCGTGTTATAGCCAACAGATAATTCTCTCCAGGTATTATAGACCTCCCTGGTTGAAGTGCTGCCTATTCACTGAAGAAATCTCTAGCTGCTTCCCACACATTTCTAAGTATGGCTCCTGCGCACACATTTATGCTCCTAATTATTTGACATCCTTTCTTTATCGTGCCAACGCACCGTCGCACAAGCCCCCTCTTCTTTGTCTCAACACAAATCATCGCACCTGCTGCAGTATGTCATCAAACCTTGTACGTGCTTCGCTTTACAGGCACCGGTTCAAAGCTCTCATGCTAGGAGAAAATAAAGCAATGCTGAATCAGTCCTCGGTGGCATCAATCAAACAATAAAAGCGAAGGTAAAGGGTATCAGCATGTGACCTCATGGCCTCTTGTCATTTCAGGGGTGGAGGGAAAGAAATAACATAACAGTAAAAAAAAGAGCTAACCTCTCTGGCCTTCCACATCGTGACTAGGCCCTTAAGAATATATTTAAGATCATGCGTCAAGGGACCTGATGTCTTCTTCATGAACACACTTGCCTTGTGATGGATAAAAGTGACCTTTAAGAGAGCTTTTTACCTCGGCGATCCTTGTGTTTACCTGGAACGCAACGTTCATCATATGTTACAACGAATTCAGGGCTTCGCGGGAATGCTAACACCCCTTGGGCTGAAAAATCGCTACGTTATCTGATACGAAGAATGTAAACGTGGTTACGAATTGAGGAAGAATACGTTTGAATAGTTTTTTCTATTGAATAGATAAAACCTTCGAAGACTTGACAAGCTAAAGGAGTAGTTTGCACAGAAATGAAAATGTTTCTATCGTTTACTCACCCCCATGCTGTTTCGCTGTTGTACTGTTTTCTTTCTTCTGCGCAGCACAAAAGCAGATTTGAGGCAGAATGTCCTTAGGCAGCTTCTCCATAGAAACAAAGTGGAGGGTGATTTCAAATGACAAGGCCCAAGAAAAGACTAAGATCTATCATAAAAGTCATCCATATGCCTGGTGAAGGATATTCCAAGGCTTTTGAAGGCATACAATGGCTTCGAGCAGGTAACACATCAAACTTGAAGTCATTATTGACTGATCATATTTCCATGTTTAAGGAAAGCTATTAATTAAAAACGCATGGATTATTGTACTCTTTCCTCATGGACCAGTTTGATGGTACTTTTTCTGTTGTTATAAAGCTTGATAACACCAATACTTTTCCTGTTTTCATTGTACAGAACAAATGGCAAGATGTTTTTCAAAAATGTAGCTTGTATTTGTGCTACACAGAAGAGAGAATGGTCAGGATGATGATGATTATTATTATCATTGTCAACTAAAACATAAAATGTATGCATGGAAATTGTAATATGTCAATTGCAATTAACAATTTGTAATTATCAATAAATTACATTTGTAATGACAATCACAATTCTACAAAACAAATAAATCATTGTTATTATTAATCAATTGTTACTGTATACTAATAAATAAATTGTAAAATATGTATATACAGTACACATATATTAGTGTATACCATAATTTATTCATATTTTATAATAGTATGTTATTATTGTTTTAATTATCATTGTGTAACTAGATTATATATATGTAGTAACTCAAGATTATATATATATATATATATATATATATATATATATATTTTCAGGCATTGCATTACAGGCATGATGAAATGGAAATTAAATTGACCAATCGGACCAATCACCGTAGATTAGGGGTTTGCAAAAAATGAATCGTTGAGCTAATCGTTTGTGAGTCATTGAGCAAATATAGTAAAAATAAATGCATATTATAAGACAGTGAAAGTGTTTTTTGACCTCGCATGCATGTCAACCTGTTGTTGGAGACTCCCAAAACCAAACTATGAACCTTTCATAACCCATAATAGGGGCACTTTAAAAGAACTGTTTTCTATGTGAATACGTATTTTAAAATGTAATTTATTCCTGCGATGCAAAGCTAAATTTTCAGCATCATTACTCCATTCTTCAATGTCACATTATCCTACAGAAATCATTCTGATATGCTGATTTGCTGCTCAGGAAACATTTATTATTTATCAATGTTGAACACATTTGTGCTGTTTCATACAGTATGTTTGTGGGAACCATGGCACTTTTTTATGTCAGGCTTCTTTGATGAATAGAAAGTTCAAAAGAACATAATTTATTTGAAATGGAAATGTTATAATATTATAAATGTCTTTCCTGTCGTTTTGGATCAATTCAATGCATCCTTGATAAATTAAATTTTCATTATCTAGATTTTATGTCACAGAGCCAGTGATGTACTGTCAAACATTTAACATTTAAACATTTGAGGTGATAAAAAGAAGATCTTATAAAACGGTTTCTACCCTGAACAGCAAGTTGTTCTGAATTTTTCAAGAACAGCACAATCACAGAGTGACATGCAATGTCAAGTCTTTTCTATTTGTACAGCGCTTTTCACAGTTGTTTCAAAGCAGCTCTACAGAAATATGTGCCTTAAATGTCTTATGTCATATTGCCAGTGTGCATTGCTACGTGACTAGTTGAATAAGAGCAGCGTCAAGCCATTTTCAGGTTTTTACCTCAGAAAAGCTGTTTATGTTCCTATGAGTGCTGCTGTGTGTGAGTGCAAGAAAAAGTTTAGTTGTGTACTCCGTCTAGAATATGTTCTGAAGTGTTATACATAGAGTAGATATGTCATAACTTTAATTGTTTATTTGGTTAATGTCATGTAGGAGTAAGTAAATAGGCATAAGCAAATAGGTGTAAATATATTTTTGTGATGCCATTTTTCTCAATCATTTTACACATGAGGCTGAATTGTTTTAAAGCTGCTTTAAACTCTTGATTAATTAGCTATTGTGGAAAATCAGGGAGTGTTATGTAAGATGGGAATGTTAGTAATTATGTGAGGTCGACTATTTCAGTCGACTTTGTGTTAAAAGCTTTTAGATATAACAAGATCATTTAATTATAACACATAACATGCAATTAAATCTTGCGCAGGGTAGCTTTATTCAACAATTGGAGACCGATTCATTAGAAATCTGACGGCATTTGTCCTTCATTTAAGGACATTTATGCACATTCAGATTGTTTAATATCATTAACACGAAAATTGAGTTTACTGACAAATTGATGATTTGCATATTTGAATGAACTACATGCTCGGTTAAGTTAGCAAATTGCTTTACAAATGCACACCTCTTGCACTAATGTTGGAAAAGTATAACCTCTAAACCTACTATTACATAACTACTTAAGAGAAAATTGGTTTAGCTCCATGATAGCAAATGGGAGCTAACGTGTAATTAAAAGGATTCCTGTGATGCAAAGCTGAATTTTCAGCATCATTACTCCATTCTTCAATGTCACATTATCCTACAGAAATCATTCTCATATGCTGATTTGCTGCTCAGGAAACATTTATTATTTATCAATGTTGAACACATTTGTGCTGTTTCATACAGTATGTTTGTGGGAACCATGGCACTTTTTATGTCAGGCTTCTTTGATGAATAGAAAGTTCATAAGAACATAATTTATTTGAAATGGAAATGTTATAATATTATAAATGTCTTTACTGTCGTTTTGGATCAATTCAATGCATCCTTGATAAATTCAATTTTCATTA